TATGTGTGTATACATATGTGTATATACATAAACATATATGTATACACACATACCCATGTCTATATGTAGATATGTAGGCGGATATGCATGTGCTCTTATACAAGCTCGTGTGTATGTACATGTGCTTTTGGCCTGTGCATCATCTGGACCTTGATCTGTATATCTTTATATACACAAGCACGCATATGTGCGTGCCTCTGCAGATCAGCGTATGCATCTACGATGCAAGGTGAATGAAGGTAACGGTGCCTGGGTGGATGGCCTACATGTACATTCGTACGTACACGTGTTTCCACGAAGATAGAGGCACGTCGTCAGTAGATAGACAGATAGACTAATGGATGGATGGATAGGTTGATAGATGGATCACTAGGTTGACGGAACAGATACAAAGATATGTAGACAGGTCAGGTGGGTTCTACAGATGGTAGACAGACAAAGCTAGGTAGACAGATGGATAGATAGGAAGACAGGCGGACAGCCAGACAAGCAGACGAACAGAAAGACCAGGGGCGATCGACCGACAGAGCGACGGATGTACACAGATCCTTTGGCAAATACGATGAAGCAAGCTAGTCAGTCGCTGGTAGCGGATCGAGCGGAGGATCGCCACGTTCTCAAAACTCGAGGACAATGCTCCTGGCCGCCTTGTGCGGAACACTGGCTGGAGAATACAACTATCAGGCGAGGTCAGGGCCTAGCCTGCGCTGTGGTTGAGTTGAAGGGTTTAGGGTTTAGGGACAAAGAGCTTGCACTTGACAGGTAAATATGCTTCCTTATTTGGATGTGGCGATGCTGCAGACCTATCTGGATGTCGATCCAGTGAACGCAAGGCAGGTCGCTGAGGGCCCGCCAAGGGGGGCGGGGCATGCATTCGTTTTCCTGACATCCGCCGAACTAGTCGGTGTTGGAGCGGCTTTGTCTCTCAGGGGCGAACACCTCATGGATGCCGGGCGCATCGTTTTCACCAAGGCCTGCTGCCAGTCTCCTCACAGCCGGGAGGGGCATGTCGGTATACTGGGCCAAGTTAAGGTCCATCGGTCCGTCGCAACGGGTCACAACATCACCCTACACGCCACAACACAAAGGAATAGTCGCAAAAAGTCGAGGTTGCTGTTCCTTGAGGCTTGAACATGGGCAAAATTATGGCAAAGTTACAGGCCTCGCACCTGGACATCAAGCATTCCATGGGCTTCATGGACACCGATGTCTGGTGTGTGCCCTGCTCAGATAGGACCCCACCGCCTAGCAAAGGACACAGTATGACACGAAAAGCACGAAGATGGAGGACTAGATTGCGGTTGACCGATGCTGTGTTGCCCTATGCCGGGCTATTTGCTGCTATCTGTTGCTCAATCCTGCATAATATATGCATCAGGCCACTTCACTGTGCTAGGCCCCATGGTAGTTCCTTTTTG